TACACTTTGGTGACGTAAATATAGGAACGTAAATTTTGTGTAAACGTGATGTCATTTTCATGGCAATTGCAAGAAATTTACATTGTTTGCAAAAACTTGATACCTTGTTTACGTAAACATGCTGTTTGGGTGGCTTGTCTGACTCGCGAATCTCGAGGGCAACAGTTCAAAACGACGAGAGTAAATGAGGTTTAAAAGTGGTGATCTGAGAACGACTGAAAATCACGAACAGCGTTACCACACTCCCTGAGGAACCGGTGAAACGCGACGAAAATGCGAAGTGGGCAGGTGGGAATGCGAGAAAGTGGTAATAATAATTTTAAAAAATTCTTCCTCTTAGAGACGCCAAGGGAAACTTTCTCGTTGGAGCAAAAACCAACAGAAATTTTGGCTAGCATGCGAACAGGGTCGAACAATAATTGAATCTCGAACCATAAACAGGAAAAAGAGATTGGCGTCTATACAACAGCCTTGGTGAACCCATGAGCTAGAAAGAACCAATGAAGTGATGGAATTCCCATCACGAAGGCTTCAGCTGCAATCGACACACTGACGATCGTTCGCCGTTTGCCCCTCCTATTTTCCAATAGACGAGACCGGAGCCTCCTCGTTCATGCTCGACGAGGAACCAGCATGAATTGCTGCGAATTCTCCCACATATGGACTGAGGCACCTGATGGAGGTCTCATTATGTAAATCATTGAAAATTATGTAGATGAAATGAGTTCCGCGATTGGACCAGAAAAACAAAGCTGTTTTCATTGTGGGAAAACAATCATTACAATGATGATAAAACCCCTGGTACTTTTCACATTGACTTATCTTTCGTTTTATCGAAATCACAGATCGAGATATGCTAAGGAGCAGAGTCATACGTTTACACGAACAAAACTGAATACAAATGTAATTGCCGAATTCAGTCGTTCTTTCTGTGCCGAGGAAAGAAATGAGCCATTCCCTGGTCTCTGTCTGGATTCTTCAAGTTTTTCCTTCCCTTCCAAATCGTCAAATCATGGGTTCCACGAGGGGGAAAGCTCACCCCTTGACGAAGCACATTCGAATGAATGGAGTTGGTTGATGTGCTGCAAATGAATGAAGGAATTAATGACGATTACCTCGCCGATTTCTCGGGAGCTTCAAGTTCCACAATGTCATTACCATACTTTAACTACGGAGGAGAACACAAATGGTTTTCTAATCGGCTCTATTGCTGAGTCACAAACAAGTGGACAGGAAAGGTTGGCCACGACCCATTGACAGAATCGCGTTAAACTCTGAGAGTCCCTTTCTTCGAAGTATTGATATTTATAAAGGTCATGGCAATAGCCTGCAGTGTTGCCCTTTTGGCTGTCATCTGTCTCCTTTCCGCCTGCCGCTTCATTTCGCAACTGATTCGGCGAAGAAACATGCCCCCAGGTTTCGTCTCATCATCTCATTTTAATTTTCTTCATTTATTCGCTTGTCGTTGCCTATGATTTGACAAGCACAGTATCAGTGTTCTCTCCCTAAACATCAGCTTTTTACCTCCCCATACGACCCAGATAACATTTTTTTTATGGGGCCCACGTTGGCCCAATTTGGTCCTACGACGTACGGATACGTAGGCCCCACGTAAAAGTGGACATTGGGCCAATGTGGGGCCAACGATGGCAGAAAGTTGAAAGGTATCACTTAGCCCACTTGCCCAAATATCAGATTTTGGCTTTATTTTGGCCATAATGGTTTTGTGATATACTTAAATTCATTATCCAATGGAGGTATTCCCATATGTAGTGCGGAGCCCGTATTACGTACAACAAACTGCAATGGACATGTTTGAATGTACTAGATTAGCAGGAAACGTAGGAAAGTACAGACTTCTATCTACTATTGACTGTACTGTCATCTGTTCGCCTTTCTCGTTTTAAAATGAACAGTTTATTTATATTGGAAGTCATGGAAGTCATAGTTCCTTAAATGAACTCTTTTGACTCATATATATTGCAGCTGAATCATTCCTTACTGAGTATTATCCAATGTCTCCAGATATTTCCGGAAAAGAGATGCAAAGAGTTAAGTAAAATTAATGTATTTTTAAATATGAAGCTCCGTCAAAGCTTATAGGCAAATCCCAGTTGAAAAAAAAATAAGCGCGACCATGGTGATTTTCTGCAGCAGCTTTACTCGCAAGGGAACGATCATCACTGAATTAACAATTTGAGTGAGTCTTGAAAGCGAAAAAAGATAATGAAATCACAAATGGCAATGACTTACTTATTGGGTACTATCCCGCTGGGTTGTTATTTGTGTCATGAGTTTTGATGTCATTCTGTATCCTAGAAGTGCAAAATAATTTAATTCTGTGAAATGAAATGCTCCCAAAGGACGAGAAGAAACATCGAGTTTTGAGGCATCTAGTGAGGATGGGATCCGAGGTGGTGAAGAAATTTTTGGACGTGGCTAGAAGCATAGAGAATGAGGATCGAGGAAGCGTCGAGAAGAAGCTGCATCACCTGCGGGGGCTTTTGGGACACCCTCATCTCACTACCACTGATTTTCTGGTCGGTTGTATGCCAAAGGTTCTTCAGCGTCCCTTCAACCGAACTATGTAAATAATGCGTGAATGTTTGTACTTCTACCACAGGACAACCTGCAGCTTGTGAAGGATGGAGTTTGTAGCTTTGCAGAATTTCGAGGGAAACTTGAAAGTGCTGTTAGGAAGAAGACACTGACGGCCTCGTTCGCTAGGTAAGACCTACCAATTAATCATACTTGATGAGGTTGGATACACATTCGGAAGTAGAGGGCGCGATCTTATTTTCAAAATGACGTTGCAAATTATGCTAATTGCCATTTAGAAACTCACTTTCGTACTCAACTTTGAACCGAACGTCAAAAACAATACATTTCCTTTTCTAAGATACCAGCGTTCAATAATTATTAATGGTGACATATCGCACCCAGTAGCAACATTGAATTCAATAAAATTGGAAAGCTAATAATATGATGTACACATTTTTATTCCGTTGTTGGCAATATGCTTGATGCAGTAATACTTGTTCCAGTCAAAATTGAAGGTGGAGCCTCTTCGCATAGAATTATATGTAGCATATCAACACTACCTTTCCTCGATGTAACGGGACTTACTTCAATGTGGGCCAAACACTTTAATCTTATTGTATATCCCTTCCCATGCCGATTCCATGCATCAATCAATTAAATTCTCTNGTATGAGCAAGAAAAGCTACTGGCGCAACGCCAAGGTCAGACGGAAAAGTTTATTAAATATTGGATACCCTTAAACACACTAGTTGAAAGATCGTCTTAAGAAAAATCCATAAGTTTGTTTTTTTTTGTTTTTGACCAAGTTCATATTGCAAATTGAGCGGATTTCTCAGCGAGTTCCTTTCTCTTCTCTCTTCTCCCCCCCCATCCTTTCTTCGCTGTGTCCCTCACATATTTTCTCATGTTTTTTACTTTCCTAAATTGTCACTTTTCATATATGTATGCAATATCTCCTGAAAATTCATGAATATAAAAAAAAAAAAAAATGTCCTGTCTTCTCGCCAGAGTATGGGAGGATAAAGTCATTTTTACCGTGATTCGTCACAGCAAGCAGGGGAAGTATGCGTTATGGAAACTTGGAAGTTTGACGTGAATATGGCGTGAATGTGGCGCTAAAACCAAACATGCATACACATTAATTTTTAAATGGTAAATGAGGTAGGGAAAATAATTACATTGTAAGACACATTCTCGTAAATATTTAATTTTTGATCTTGAAAGTTTCCGACTGAGATTTATCTGGATGTACCTGGATTTCACCTAATGTTCCAAAAAATGTCCTACATATCCAGATAAAATGTTCCCGGAAATCCGCCGAGGTGTTCTTCTTGGAATGTTTTATTTTTCTCCATGAAATATGACGGCTAAGGGATCTGCATTCCAAAACCGACCTTAATTCAACGATCGTTTTCCTCATTGGTGTCTGTAAGGTTTGTTTCAGATATTATCCGAGAAATCCTCGTAATCATCTGGACCTTTTCTATATTGGCATCTTAGGGAAGCCACCCCTCACCTTCAGTTTACATTCCGAATGGTAGATGACTTCCAGTAGCCTCCGATATCCCCTTACTTATGACTTCGTGATGCGTCGGAAAGCCTACAGTTTTTTTTTTTAAATATAGGTTTCCCTTTTGGATACAGGGGAATTGAAGAGTATGAGAGCTCTCCCTCTCCTTGCATTCCCCTCCCGTCTTGGTTTTTTTGTTTTCATTTAAAGATAATTCATGCACTGAGTAGGAAAAGAGAACGTCTACAAGGAAAGTAGGACTCTTCCATGCAGGACTTCCTCTTTCCTTGATGAGTACTCAACTAGGACTTCAGGGACACGTCTGAAAAGGCGAATCCTACTCTCATCTTTCCACACAAAATATTCTAGAGAATAAAGTACGAGAAAACTTTGGTCCCTTCCTAGAAGAGAAGTACAAAGGCAATGGTAGGACTGTACGCAGAAATTTGCATTGTAAAAGTTCATTTTGAGACGCCTCCCTCAGAAGTGCTTTTTCCTTTCTCGTTTTAAAATAAACACTTTATTTATATTGGAAGTCGTGGAAGTCATAGTTCCTTAAATGAACTTTTCTAACACACATATTGCAGCTGAATCATTGCTTACTGAGTATTATCCGATGTCTCCAGATATTTCCGGAAAAGAGATGCAAAGAGTTAAGTAAAATTAATGTATTTTAAAATATGTATCTCCGTCAAACCTTATAGGCAAATCCCAGTTGAAAAAAAAATTAGCGCGACCATGGCGATTTTCTGCAGCAGCTTTACTCGCAAGGGAACGATCATCACTGAATTAACAATGGGAGTGAGTCTTGAAAGAGAGAAAAAATGAAATCCGAAATGGCAATGACTTACTTTTTGGGTACTATCCCGCTGGGTTGTTATTTGTGTCATGAGTTTTGATGTCATTCTGTATCCTAGAAGTGCAAAATAATTTAATTCTGTGAAATGAAATGCTCCCAAAGGACGAGAAGAAACATCGAGTTTTGAGGCATCTAGTGAGGATGGGATCCGAGGTGGTGAAGAGATTTTTGGACGTGGCTAGAAGCATGGAGAATGAGGATCGAGGAAGCGTCGAAAAGAAGCTGCATCACCTGCGGGGGATTTTGGGAAACCCTCATCTCACCACCACTGATTTTCTGGTTGGTTGTATGCCAAAGGTTCTTCAGCGTCCCTTCAACCGAACTATGTAAATAATGCGTGAATGTTTGTACTTCTACCACAGGACAACCTGCAGCTTGTGAAGGATGGAGTTTGTAGCTTTGCAGAATTTCGAGGGAAACTTGAAAGTGCTGTAAGGAAGAAGACACTGACGGCCTCGTTCGCTAGGTAAGACCTACCAATTAATCATACTTGATGAGGTTGGATACACATTCGGAAGTAGAGGGCGCGATCTTATTTTCAAAATGACGTTGCAAATTATGCTAATTGCCATTTAGAAACTCACTTTCGTACTCAACTTTGAACCGAACGTCAAAAACAATACATTTCCTTTTCTAAGATACCAGCGTTCAATAATTATTAATGGTGACATATCGCACCCAGTAGCAACATTGAATTCAATAAAATTGGAAAGCTAATAATATGATGTACACATTTTTATTCCGTTGTTGGCAATATGCTTGATGCAGTAATACTTGTTCCAGTCAAAATTGAAGGTGGAGCCTCTTCGCATAGAATTATATGTAGCATATCAACACTACCTTTCCTCGATGTAACGGGACTTACTTCAATGTGGGCCAAACACTTTAATCTTATTGTATATCCCTTCCCATGCCGATTCCATGCACAATCAATTAAATTCTCTTGCAGCATTGCCCAGGAGGATGAGGAAGTTATTGTGCGTGAATTCTCCGAGTGTATCACTGAGGATGCTCTCAAGCCATACATGAAGTTGAAGAATGCCGAAAAGAGCGGAGAGTGGAGAAATTACGTGCAGATTTGCTTGGGGGGCCATGGAACTCAAAAAACCCAAACAACAGGAAACATCGAGCTTAGGATCATTCCCGGAAACCCGATGGAAGTGACAGAAGGATCTTTCAATCAACCTTTCTGCGCGGCAGTGTTCTCCAATGAGGTGAGAAGAAGATGGCCCCATTCAATAATTACGACTTCATGTAAGTGTTGACGACTGAGAATTGTTTCTTAAAGGTCGTCGATGTCGATCGATGTCTGCTGGGGCTTCGCAACCACCAAGGCCGCTGCAGGGGAGAGAAAAAAATTCCCATAGCCTATGTGACAGACAGCCTTTGCGAGGCGGCAAGGATTGAGCAGGCACTTCATCAGCATAATTTGAAAACACAGTCAGCCGTGCTAAGAAAGGCCGAAAGTAAAGGTGGGCATATCACTTTGGTGCGAAAAGAATGAAATTTTCCTTTGTCCGTTGAAACAATGTGATCCGATGTTTATGGTACTACATGAGTACTACATTACTGCAAGTTCTTCTCTTGATGCAGGACCCCTCTTCGTGCAAGCTCACATGCATTGTGTGATTGCCAGCAGCTCGGAGATTCCCTTGTCGACATCAGTCATCGATATGAAGGATCTCCTGGAGAGCCTCGGGAAGCCGAACCAATGGATTCTCTCCAATGTTAAAGACTTGAGTAAGTGCGGTCTGTTGCAGTCTGCAAAGAAGTGGCACATATGCAGTGATGGCAACGTTGATGACGATGAAGACGTGATTAGTAGCTACCATGATTGATTTCTTTGTATTTGCAGAAGTTTCAGACCTCCCAGAGTCCTTGAAAATGTTATCTCTGGTTGAGTTGGATTTGGTTCTGGTGGGAGAAGGGAAGAAACACCCAGGCGATGCTCAAGAGGATCCTCCAGATACCCCCAAGCAGAGAGAGAGCAACTCCAATGGGGACAAACATTTTGAATTCGAAACTGAGTGAGCTTCACATGATATTCTTTCGCGAATGGTGCAGTTAAGCACGATGCTCAAGAGGATCCTCCAGATACCCCCAAGCAGAGAGAGAGCAACTCCAATGGGGACGAACATTTTGAATTCGAAACCGAGTGAGCTTCACATGATATTCTTTCGCGAATGATGCAGTTAAGCTGAATATTTATAAATTTATTCGATAATGCCATGAATGGATTCAGGGATGCGATTGGGGACATCACAGCAGAGGAGTTCCTGGAGAACGAAGACACCGACATATTTGGTCATGATTTCATCCATCTCAGCTCATCATGAGGATCATGTTCATTAAGAAGCGGCATGACCTTTCAGATGCGATTGGGGACATCACAGCAGAGGAGTTCCTGGAGAACGAAGACACCGACATATTTGGTCATGATTTCATCCATCTCAGCTCATCATGAGGATCATGTTCATTAAGAAGCGGCATGACCTTTTACTTGGACCACACAAAAAAAGGGCGGTATTGGTTGAAATCGATTTCATGCTTGATTTAGTTTCACTCTTTTTTTTTTTACTCTATCTGCAATTGCTTTTGCTGAAATATGTATTGATTTTAGGATATGAACCAATTGGGGTTGAGATGGCGTATGGAGTATCATGAGGAACTTCTGTGACATCGATTTATTCTCATTTTTTCAAACTTTCAATAGTTTCCCCATCCCGTTCGTTCTCTGCCGTATTTTTGAATGCACATCTTTGAATGCAAGAGATCACGAAAATTATTATGGCTGCGTCCTAGGAGGCGCATCTCTCAAGTTCAGTAACATGAGTCCTTTCAGTATGGTCAACTCAGAATTTCAGAACATTTGCCTTTGTGAAAATTCAAACGTTGCTGATCCATGCAATGCAATATCTCTAGTTTTTCTTTTGTGAAATCTCGCCTATTTTCATTCGAAAAACGATTGAAATGTATGTAGTAACATGGAAATGACAAAAATCTCACTTCTGTTTCAGCAGTCATGCCCCTTGAAACACATGGATCAAAATGAGGGAATGGAATGAGTCACCAAGTAACTCAGGAAAACAGGTCAGTCTTTTCTGCATCTCTTTTTCTGAGATTAAAGTTATGGTTGATGAGTATTAGTCTGAATCAGTCATGAACAGAAATGCGTCCCAATTGCAGGAACCGAGGCGCACATGGAATCCAATGAGATAGCATCGGAAGGCAACGGGTGAAATGGGTGAAGGAGTGCACCAGAAGCATGGAAGAGATGCAGAGTGGCTGGCCTGGAGTGACTGATGAATATGGAAATTTATCAACATGACGTCAAGTGTTATTGTTCCTAATGGCCTTTACTCAACCTTGAAAAATTTGTGTTTTACCTGTTTGTTTCCCCCCCCCCCCCCCCAATTGTAACAGTACCTGCTGCCTTCTTCTCTGTCTCCTTTTGCTTCCCTTCGTTTCTGCTAATTTCATCGATTGAGTATGGATTTCATCTGATGTGATATTGTATCTTTGTTTCTGCAAATGAGTTGAAAGTATGAAATTATGATTCCTCTCTCCTTCGCTCTTGCTACTTCAAGACATGGAAACAGTCCTCCCGCGTTTCTATTGCTCTGCAATGTCTAAATTATGTATGTTGCTGTACTTTACTGTACCAATATTCCCATGTGTAATTGGCGCCCGTCAGAATGTTGGCTTTTTTTTAATTATGAAATATGAATTAAATGGGTATGAAAAGTCACTTATTATTATTATGGGAACATGAGAATTTCCCTCTTGGGAAGGAGGAATATTGAGAAATGTTGACAATGATACGCTAATCCCAGTTGACTGAAGGTCGAAAATCTCTAGATGAAATTTATGAGGAGGCGATTTGAGACACATTTTGGAATTTCCGGAGGAGGCAGAAGGCCCAATGGGGAACATAACAATTCCTGTATTGATACGGTTTCGACTGTTCAAAACGCGCCTGAAATATGAGGTTTTCTTTACCCCGCGTCTCGGCGGATTTTGGCCAATTGTCCGAAATCCGTCTGGATTTTGGGCTAAGTGCTCGGCTCATGCAGATGGCTTTCCCCTCCATCTAGCTGGATTTCGGACAATTGCCCGAAAACAAGTTTGAGCAAGGGGGCCCTTCCCCTCATCGCATGCAGTCGGAATTCGGACAGTTGTCCGAAGCTTAGCTCGAATGAGAACCTCCAGTATTTCGGGGATTCGTCCAAATGGCAATAGAAGAATCTCTTTTCAATTTTAGCTGGGAATTGAGACAAATACATAAATCCTCTTTCTACAGGATTGATCGGTGCTCTGTTCCACAACTTATTAAGGTTCCACGGAGGAAAGATGGCCTTGAAAGTCATTAGTGAAAACGATATGAAAAACACGGCCATTTTGTCGCATAACATTGAACCATTTTACGCAATACATGGCCACAGAGTAGCACATATCGAGATATGTCTCTTTGGTTCTGCTGGAGCAAGCAAATTTTCCTCGCATTTCTATGAATGTCAACAATAATGGTCAGGTTTGGACAATAAATTTTGATAATTTGGCTGAAAGTTAGGAAATCATTCCATTTGGAGTGCCTCTCCTTAGCATTTCATCATATGTGTTGGCACACAAATATTGTACCCGCTCCAGCCAAACAACTAAAATGAAACCTCAAAAATTAAAATGAAACTCATTGGAAAGAGATTTCCCAATAGAACTATCCTGGCTTAATCGAGTACTCTTATCGCCGACGCAGAGACACCAAGAAAGAGACACCTTCTAATGCGCCCGTCGTACAACGACGGGCGCATTAGAAGGTTGTACCAAACGTTTCCGGATACATGAAATAAAACTTAAAGTTACCGGCAGATCATCCTGCTAGGATGATCTGCTAGGATGATAGAAACTTGCTAGCATTGTACTACTGAGTATTGTCTATCTTCAACATGATTCCCAGCCTTGTCAGTGCACTTCCTCCATTGCGATGGTAATTTGGAGGTTCGAGTCATGTAAAGGACGGCCGGCCGGACGGTCCTCTGCTATGCGGGCGCTTGGCGCCTTATTCTTCCTCATCTAAGGAGACTGTGGACTTTTTCTCACCTTTTCTCTCTCCTCATCCTCATCAAAGTTTCTACAATACCTCCATCTGGCCACTCAATTTCACAATTCCGTCTATAGATGAACACTTAGACTAGGAAAATTCATGCCTCCCAATTCTCATTTCTGACCATGAACTGTAAAGCAGCTTCGAACCAGAAATCTCGGATAACAACGGACATGGAGATTTCTAGCGCTCGGGAAATTTCACTACTTTTTCAAATTCCTCTCTTCCACCTACCGACCAACGTTATCAATTCATATTAACCTTAATCCGGGCAAGGTGAGTCCGCTGGACTCACTACGACATATTTCTGTCTATTACTGTCATTATTTTTTTAAACTATCAGGACCATTTAATAAATTGAATAAATTATTGAATAACCGCAGCAAACGGCCTCATTTTACATGAGTCTGACAGACTCACCTTGCCCGGAATAGGTTGTAAAAAAGATTGCCCGGATGAGGGTTAATTTTCTTGTGTATAATGTACTCATGGCTATGCCCCACGGAGATTCCCTTGTCGACATCAGTCATCGATATGAAGGATCTCCTGGAGAGCCTCGGAAAGCCGAACCAATGGATTCTCTCCAATGTTAAAAACTTGAGTAAGTGCGGTCTGTTGCAGTCTGCAAAAAAGTGGCACATATGCAGTGATGGCAACGTTGATGACGATGAAGACGTGATTAGTAGCATCCATGATTGATTTCTTTGTATTTACAGAAGTTTCAGACCTCCCAGAGTCCCTGAAAATGTTATCTCTGGTTGAGTTGGATTTGGTTCTGGTGGGAGAAGGGAAGAAACACCCAGACGATGCTCAAGAGGATCCTCCAGATACCCCCAAGCAGAGAGAGAGCAACTCCAATGGGGACAAACATTTTGAATTCGAAACTGAGTGAGCTTCACATATTCTTTCGCGAATGGTGCAGTTAAGCTGAATATTTATAAATTTATTCGATAATGCCATGAACGGATTCAGGGATGCGATTGGGGACATTACAGCAGAGGAGTTCCTGGAGAACGAAGACACCGACATATTTTGTCATGATTTCATCCATCTCAGCTCATCATGAGGATCATGTTCATTAAGAAGCGGCATGACCTTTCACTTGGACCACACAAAAAACAGGGCGGTATTGGTTGAAATCGATTTCATGCTTCATTTAGTTTCACTCTTTTTTTTCTACTCTATCTGCAATTGCTTTTGCTGAAGTATGTATTGATGTATTGATTGATGTATGTATTGATTTTAGGATATGAACCAAGTGGGGTTGAGATGGCGTTGAGATGAGAGTATCATGAGGAACTTCTGTGACATCCATTTATTCTCATTTTTTCAAACTTTCAAGAGTTTCCCCATCCCGTTCGTTCCCTGCCGTATTTTTAAATGCACACTTTTGGATGCAAGAGATCGCGAAAATTATTATGGCTGCGTCCTAGGAGGCGCATCTCTCAAGTTCAGTAACAAGAGTCCTTTCAGTGTGGTCAGTTCTGAATTTCAGAACATTTGCCTTTGTGAAAATTCAGTCGTTGCTGATCTATGCAATGCAATATCTAGTTTTTCTTTTGTGAAATCTCACCTATTTTCATTCGAAAAACGACTGAAATGTATGTTGTTACATGGAAATGACAAAAACCTCACTTCTGTTTCAGCGGTCATACCCCTTGAAACACATGGATCAAAATGAGGGAATGGAATGAGTCATGGAGAATCTTTAAGCCATGGATATTACCAAGTAACTCAGGAAAACAGGTCAGTCTTGTCTGCATATCTTTTTCTGAGATTAAAGTGATGGTTGATGAATATTAGTCTGAATCAGTCATGAACAGAAATGCGTCCCAATTGCAGGAACCGAGGCCGCACAAGGAATCGGAATCCAATGAGATAGCATCGGAAGGCAACGGGTGATAGGAGTGCACCAGAAGCATGGAAGAGATGCAGAGAATTCCTGGAGTGACTCTGATGAAAATGGAAATTCATCAACATGACGTCAAGCGTTACTGTTCCTAATTACCTTTACTCAACCATGAAAAATTTGGGTTTTTCCAGTTTGTTTCCCACCCCCTCCCCCAGTGTAACAGTACCTGCGGCCTTCTTCTCTGTCTCCTTCTCCTTCTCTTTGTTTCCGCTAATTTCATCGATTGAGTATGGATTTCATCTGATGTGATATTGTTTCTTTGTTTCTGCAATTGAGTAGAAAGTATGAAATTATGATTCCTTTCTCCTTCGCTCTTGCTACTTCAAGACATGGAAACAGTCCTCCAGCGTTTCTATTGCTCTGCGATGTCTAAATGATCTGTTACTGTACTTTACTGTACCAATATTTCCATGTCTAATTGGCGCCCGTCGGAGTGTTAACGTTTTTTAAATTATGAAAGATGAATTAAATGGGTATGAAAAGTCACTAGTCATTATTATTATGGGAACATGAGAATTTCCCTCTTGGGAAGGAGGAATATTGAGAAATTTTGACAATGATACGCTGATCCCATTTGATTAAAGGTCGAAAATCTCTGGATGAAATTTATGAGGAAGCGATTTGAGACACATTTTGGACTTTCCGGAGGCGGCAGAAGGCCCATTGGGGAACATAGCAATTCCTGTATTGATACGGTTTCCACTGTTCATTCAAAACGCGCCTGAAGTATGAAGTTTTCTTTTCCCCGCGTCTCGGCGGATTTTGGCCATTTGTCCGAAATCCGTCTGGATTTTGGGCAAAGTTCATGCAGAAGGCTTTCCCCTCCATCCAGCTGGATTTCGGACAATCGCCCGAAAACAAGTTTGAGCAAGGAGGCCCCTTCCCCTCATCGCATACAGTCGGAATTCGGACGATTGTCCGAAGCTTAGCTCGAATGAAAACCTCCAGAATTTCGGGGATTCGTCCAAATGGCAAACGAAGAATCTCTTTTCAATTTTAGCTGGGAATTGAGACAAATACATGAATCCACTTTTACAGAATTGATCTGTGGTCTGTTCCACAACCTATTAAGGTTCCACGGAGGAAAGATGGCCATGAAAGTCATTAGTGAAAACGATATGAAAAACACGGCCATTTTGTCGCATAACATTGAACCATTTTGCACAATACATGGCCACAGAACAGCACATATCTCGATATGTCTCTTTGGTTCTGCTAGAGCAAGCTAATTTTCCTCGCATTCCTATGAATGTCAACAATAATGGTCAGGTTTGGACAAGAAAATTTCATAATTTGGCTGGAAGTTAGGAAATCATTCCATTTGGAGTGCCTCTCCTTAGCATTTAATCATGTGTTGGCCAATACACACAAATATTGTACCCGCTCCAGCCAAACAACTAAATGAAACCTCAAAATTAAAATGAAACTCGTTATTGATCAAGGCAAGAAATTGTATGTTATCGCCGAACAACCGAAGTGTGACACGCGGACTCACGGACGGATAGGACGGGACCATGAGTGGTCTCTTTCCTTTCAGGAAAGGAGGCCCACTAAAAACCAAGAACTATACTGTACACATTTGGGAGTTTTTTGTATTCGCCACAAAATATCTCAAAAGCGCCAGAACAGTAACAGAAAGCTTTCTTTCGCTCCACTCGGTGTATGCGCGTAACACAATGAGATACTTCAACATACACTAACCACTACGAATTCAGAGGCCCGCACAGGTTGACCTTTCCCTTTAGGCTCCTGTGATGAGATGTTCGGAGATGAATGGTCCTTGCTCCTCACGCCCGGACAAAGGGGAAAGCGAGGGTCACAGACACGGGAGGCTCACCGTTGCGACTCTTGTCATCAAGTGCCCCGCCGAAATCAAAGTTGAAGGTTGCTAGGGACGAGGGGTACTATGCTTATAACTGCTCGCCTTTCCACATAAATCATTACGCATTATGTGGCATGCGCTATCGGTGTCCTGCAGTCGCTCTTTCATTGCTGAATGGAAATGTGCGAAATGAGCCGTGATGAGGCAGAGAAGTTGGTGATGGATTCCCGTTCGTCCCTTAGGACGTGCTGGAAAGGTTCTCTCATCAACTCAAAGAAAATAACCCAAACTTACGGCCTCAAATAAACTGTCGGTAAATGTGCGGGTCACATTCTCGAGTGCGAATGAAATGCGTCTTCCTTGAGAAACCTTTGCGAGTGGCTCAGAGTTTCACGTTGCATCACTCGGAAAAAAGACAGCAACGAGTAATGTCATAGATTTTCCCTGGAAGGAGCTTCACTTGGGAAAATTTGCAGATGGAACTTCCCAAACAGTGAAACTCAAAATTCCTCGCGATTTTCGCATAGTGGCGACAACAAAATCTGCTTCAAGTGTAGAGAACAAGGATTAGTTGGACATTTCTCACGCCAACTTAAATTCAGATCCACGTAATATTTCCACCCCAAAATCAATTGCAAAAAGTTCAATTTAAAAAATATTTTGTCCAGAAATATCGATATAGTTCAGGGACCCCCAATCAAAAAACGCAAAAATTGTGCCATCGTGGATTTTTCAGCATTTCAGCAGTCGCACAATTCCAGATATATCTTCGTTTCCAGGTCGGGAACATGCAAACTCTGGAAATCCGGATTGTCGAGAATCTACAACTGATGAGACTTATCCGCATAACAAATATCGCAGGTTTGGAACCTGATGCTCCTAATGAAGGGAAGACCTATTATGAGAAGCTGATGCTTCTCACAATGACTTTTGGCAAAAGCAAATAGCAGCAGATCGGTCGCACTAACTGTTCGCCCTGTTTTCGGTCACCCCCTGCATGTTTCTGTGCATGAAAATACTCAAGAGAAGGGGGGGAAAGAAATGGGAAAAAGTTTGTTGAAGAAAGTGTGAACCGCCTGTTTCTTTGCAGCACCTGTGATGCTAGGATTCAACGAATGGAAATATGTTGTTCGGCCAGCAAAAGCAGCTAGAGACTAACGAGCACCACGATACGAAAGTTCGACCAGTGGAATACGTTGGTATCAAATACCTTCCGCGAAGAGGCTTTAAAAAAGTGGGATGTAAGCATCCCTTCTGATCATCAGGTGCAGGACATGACCTTTGCTTTCGCGTCTCTCGAACGCATCTGCTCCAAGTAGAGCAGCAGCTTGCATGCGAAAGTGTTCCATTTTCATGGAATGGGTGTAGACTTTCCGATATGCATCCTCGGGTTTACTTTCTTCTTTCATTTCTCGTTCCGAAGGCACGGCATGCATTTCTGATGCCATTATTGTTCGACCAGAAAACCCGAAAAAAACGAAATGGCCATCAGCCGATCCTTCGCAAGATGCCCTTCGCCTTCGACGTGTTTCCTCATGGCACCTGTGATTCCATCGCGGCTCTAGTCGCTCGTTGCCGACCGCATATATACAAAACCGAAATCGCGGAGGGTTCACGCGCTTTCACGCTCCCGCTCTCACGTTTCTTCATCCGCCATGCACTTGAATGCCGAAATCGAGGAGGGTTTGTATATCTGCTTCCCGCCCCAAGACAATCGATTACCTCATTCGTCCGTTTATCTGGGACGAGCCCCTTACAACCGATCGTATCCTTGTGTCTCTGGATTCAGTACCGAAGATAAGAATGGTGCCCTCCTTGGAAGAAAAATCGCACGATCTTCAACCGGAAAGCCACCCGATTATCTCAAAAGAGGATTACAAAAAAACTGATTCATCTTCATTCGACGTAGACTTAGAGGAAGAATATTTTTCGAGTAAATGAAATGCGGAGCATTGGCGATTGCAATTCGAATGAGGCATAGCTTACGACAAGGTAAATGCGCGACCTGAGGGAAGCCAACGGAAAATCGACGCAATTTTTTGTCTTTCCGCACTTCCAGGCACACGCCCTTCGGGATGGGACCGTCATTCGGATGAGGTTCGGAGAGAGGAAGATCCCCCCCCCCCCCCCGTTATCCACCTTCAAAAATCTCTTCTGCCCTTCCGTTCCTTTTTCCCTCATCGCCAGCAGCAGCATCAGCCAAAGCGTTCCTCTCATCCCGTTCATGATCCAAGAGTCGATGTCCCTTCAAGCTCAAAGCCATGGAAACGTAACCTGCCGATCAAACCTCCTGCATAACCTACCGAGCAAGGAGACCAGAGCATCCCCTTCCTATCGCCTTGAAAGTTGGCTTCCAGAACTTCCCCCCCTGCCGGGAATCTACGACTCCAGTGTATAGGGCTCTCTCCTCACCCAAACGAAGGGAAAACTGTCTCACGCCACGAATGCCCGCCTCACTGCCTCTTGTTCGCTAACCCTCTGCTGAAGTCCAAGGCAACGATCGCCATCAGCCTCGTGCACGGTGCATGTCGATTGCCTATCGTTTTTCCGCTTAGAATTCTCCCGCTGGCGTGTTGAGGCTCTACGACCGCTGTAAAAGATTTTCCATCAAAAATGCCCATCGAGACGGAGTGGCCGGCGAACGGTTCATAGGTGTCGTTCAAACGGGAGAACCGGAGGTTAAACGCATCGCATGCGCAATCCTGACCGCTTCCTTAGTCAAGCGACAATTGTGTGTTTGCGTGTTTCTCCCAGCTCAACAGGCCAAACAACTCAAGATGTGAGATTGAGGTTTCCTCAGAAATGTTCCTTATCTTCCGAGGTTGTGCCTTTGCGATATTAAATTTACGAATAGGCCTCACGAAAGGGAGGGGATGCAACTTTTACGGAAAATCAGAGATTACCTCTCGTCTCGTCATCTTTTCTATAAACGAGGAGACGAAAGTTCCCCTGGGGCTCGAAAGGAAGCGCTGGCGCCGCTCGCTGCAGTGCCTCTCGCCTGCTGCCATGATTCCTGGCATTTCAGTCGTGACCATTGAGATGCGGGGCGATTCCATCTCGGCAGAATTATCAGAATTGCAGTTCATGACGTGCTCTTTCGTCGCTGCCCTCCTCACTTTCGGTCCTTTGGAGCTCTCACGTGCAACACAAGGGAGCCGACAAGCGCGAGAGTTCTTCAAAGGTTGCACGGTTTTTCCGTGTCGTCGCCGTATTGCCACGTGGAAAGATAGAATGCTCTTCGCGCCTGTCAAACGCGCTTCCGCGCAATTTGTCCTTCGTTTTTGGGAATAACCAAAAGTCGCAAGGGGCGAGATGAGGGGAATACGGCGGTGGTTCGATGTGCCGGGGCATTGTCATGTCGGAGGAAATGCCTGTGGAGTTGCGTCTTGGGACGACCTTGGTTATTCCCAAAAATGAACGACGATTTGCGCGGAACAGTATTTGACGGGCGCAAAGTGCACGAGGCGGCAGTGAACGAGGAGCTGAAAAAGTTGGAGGAAAAAGACGAATTTCGGAGGTGTTTCGATCTCCAGGCTCGAGAAGTGCATCGAAGTTGATGGGCATTATGTTGAGGAACCTTGTATTAAGGGCTTTTTAAGAGGAAAAAATAATCCTGGTCTGCCATTCTTTTTACAGAAAAAAACGCGAAATTTTTAACGATCCCACTTGTAACAAGGAAGTGGCAGCGTAATAGGCTGCAAAGAGATTAATTTCAGCGTCAAGAAATCCTCAAAAGACCTTAACATCCTGAAAACATGACAATGTCAAATTTTCAGCCGGATTTATCCGTTCTGGACTCGTGCATTGCCAGTCAAGTTTCCTTCATTATTAATGTTCACACCGACGACCTGCAGAGTTTCTCTCGATTCACGAACGTGATTCCCCCCGAGCATTCGCAGCTCAAGTGCAATGGCATCAGTGGGAAGCGTCAGCAGGAGACGGCGGATCGACTCCCTCATCGCTCAGATGCCTCCTTGCATCGACGGTCGGGAACACTGCCAGCCTGCATCTCAGACGCGCCTCCAGGTTCAGAGGAAAAGGGTGGAGGTCGTCCACTCCGCCTCTCAAAGCCGAACCGAGTGGAAATGGACTCATTCGGATCCCACCGTGAAGGCACGCTCGTATTCTCATCAAGGCGTGAGGCGAACTCGTCAGTAGTAGCCCCAAATCGAACCCATCCCACGATCCCGTGGTTGCGAAGCGTTACTCGAGACCCTCTTTAACGCTTTGCACTCCATTTTTCTCGTAACGCTACGGACATCGTCGAGCATGGCTCGAAAACCGTGGGCGAAGGGTTAAGGATTCGTGTAAAACGGGAAACGAATCCCAGTCCTCTTACGTGAGACCAAAGCTGCTGCTAACGGCACCATTTATTTCCAATCCGTATCGATGACGTCATCAACGTGAACGAAGTCTGACCCCCTCCCCGACGGATTGTATCCCTAAAGTTAGTCTTCATGAAAGTAGTGGTCCATGGACTTTTTTGGATATGTCCTGTTACTTTCTTCGTCCGTTCAAGGCTTACCAGAAAAATTCGAACTCATTCCCCCCCCCCCCCCTCTTTAATCCTCTATAACCAAATGTAGCTTGAAAGTCGCGCAGTGAATTTTGAATTTTGTGGGTTTTTATTGCCATGCCACTGTGACTCAATACAACATCGAAGTGGCACTCTACTCATCACATATGACCATGTCACTTTCGTCAGAAGTTCGAGTCACTGCAACCGGGCTTCACACATATCACCACGTGGACAATCTGTTTCATCATGGTCTCAAAACTAATTCCAATTTTATTTTGCACTTTGTTCTTCCTAAAATTAGGAAAGGAAAAGTTTAACTTTATATTGCTAAGTCCATGGAAAATGTTTTCAAAAGAAATCTGCAACTTTCATTTTGGTTTAGTGCTTCGAACACAAAAATTGCAAGAAATTGCATAAGGTTATAAAGTTGTAAGGAAAAGTTATAAGTAAAAACCAATTTTTAATGTTGGAAATGCTTCCCAATTTTTGAATCAAGAACTTTTCTGCTATTTAGGTTAATAGTAATTTTGTTGTATCACCTGATACGCATTTCATAATGCCATAATGGAGGGGGAAAATAGAACGGGAGGGTAATGAAGGAGGGGATGATGTCACTAGTTGTCACGTCCCTCGGGATGCTCGTCTCCTAACTCTTGGTTTTCCGATGTCCAATGCGTGATCTTTTCTCGAAGGAGTTGCACGATGAGCGTAGAATCCTTGGAATTGTGCTCCTTCAAGGTGTCCAGCTCCACTTTCGCATCGTCGAGTGCCTCCTTGGCGAACTGGCGAGCTCGATCAGGTGCATGGAATATCTCATAATAGAAGACCGAGAAGTTTAGTGCAAGTTCGAGTCGGATGGAACGAGTTGGGCGCATCCTACCCTTGGCGATGTCGAAAGCTTCCTGTTACGCCTTCAGGGATTCCTCCATCACATCCAACCGAGAGTCTCCGGTGGCAACTTCTGCCATATACCAATTCAAGCCTCCCTTCATAGTGAGATAGAACACTTTGGATTCATTGTTGCTACATTTTGGGATGAGATACTTGTTCAGGAGATCCTGGACATAGTAGCAAGTATCTTGGAGCTCCTTCAATATCTTCTCCTTGGCCAATTCCTGCTCCTGTTCTGATTACTATGTCTTTTGTTCAACGGATGATATGACCATCAATGAGCTCCTCCCCGCACCTGCCACATTCTTGTAGGCAACTGAAAGAAGGTTTCTCTCTTCGTTTGACAACTCCACACCTGTCTCTGTCATCTTCTTCATGGCAGCGGCCATTTCATCGTACCATTTCACCGCCTGCTGGGCAAACTTTGCGATCAGAACCAATTTCTGTAGGCCAGTCATTGTGAATGTGAATATGTCAAAGAATACAAGCACCCCTTCAACTTAAAATATCACAATATTTAAATGCTTCCAAAGTTAGGGGAAAATGTTTACCAAACCCTTTCAAATTCTTGAAGGCTTGAAGAATCGACCTATGAGGATATGCTGTCTCCAAATTACGATCGTTTTGACAAGGTTCCAAAAGGCTCAATAGAAACCTCAACTAGACCTTGGTTTTTCAGAATCATGCAGGTAATTAGAAATGGGAATAGCGAAATTCTCTAACCCATCAAGGAATGACATTTGTACGATACTCGTTTTTGGAGGATCACTTCAAGATCCCTTTTTGCGTATGCGTCGAATGCGTTGGGCGACGATGAAGCGGCTGCCTTTCCCATGAATACTTTAAAGAGGTTAGTTACGACCATGAGCAAAAAAAGGGAGTTGTACGTTTAAGTGAACAGGTATTAGGATGTCTATGCAGGAGGCGACAAGACTATGAAATTGAAAGGAACTCTTCCAAAGTGTCGCATTCGTTTCGATCAGGTTTAGAGTGAGGAAGATGAGCCCTCCGTTATCCACCTTCACTTACCTCTTCTGCCCCTTCGTTCTTTCGTGTTCCATCATGATCATCGTCAGTAGCAGCTGGAGCCGAAACACTCCTCGAGGACGGTAACTGCTTGAGAAACCTTTGTGAGTGGCTTCAAGTTTCACGTTGCATCACTCGAAAAAAGACAGCAGCGAGTAATGTCATAGATTTTGTCTGGAAGAAGCTTCACGTGGGAAAATTCGTCAATGGAACTTCCCAAACCGTGAAGCACAAAAATTTCCTCGCGATTTTCGCATAGTGGCGACAACAAAATCTGCTTCAAGTGTATAAAATGAGGACTAGTAGGACATTTCTCACGCCAACTTAAATTCAGATCCAGGGAGTATCTCCACCCCAAATTAGATTGCAAAAAGTTGAAATTAAAAAATATTTTCTTCCGAAATATCGATATAATTTAGAGAACACCAATCAAAAAACCCATAAATTGTGTCATCGTGAATTTTCCAGCCTTTCTGCAGTCGGACAATCTTAGGTATATCAGAGTTTCGAAGTTGGGAACATGCAAACTCTGGAAATCCGGATTGTCGAGAATCAACAACTGATGAAACTTGGCCGCATAACAAATATCGTAGGTTGGACCCTGATGTTTCTAATAAAGGGGTACACCTATTTGAGAAGCTGATGCTTCTTAAAATGACTTTTAGGGAAAACAAATAGCACCAGATCGATCGCAATAACTGTTGGCCCATTTTTCGGTCACCCCTAGGATGTTTCAGTGCATGAAAATTCTCAAGAGGGGGGAAAAGAAATGGAATGAAGTTTGATGAGGAAAGTGTGAACCGCATGTTTCTTTACCGCACCCGTGATGCTAGGATTCAAAGAATGGAAATATGTTGTTCGGCCAGCCAAAACAGCTGGACTCTAACGAGCACCACGATATGGAAGTTCGACCAGTGGAATACGTTGGTACTTTCCGCGAGGAGGCCTTAAAAATTGGTGATGCAAGCATGCCTTCTGACCATCAGGTAAATGACACGATTTTTGCCTTGGCGTTTCTCGAACGCATCTGCTCCAAGTAGAGCAGCAGCTTGCATACGAAAGTGTTCCATTTTCAGTATATGGGTGTAGACTTTCCGATATGCATCCTGGGGTTTACTTTCTTCTTTCATTTTTCGTTCCAAAAGCACGGCATGCATTTCTGATGCGATTATTGTCCGACCAGAAAACACGAAAAAACGAAACGGCTATCAACCAATCCTTCGCCAAATAACGTACCATTACGCCTCCGACCTTCCTCAGGGCACCTGTTATTCTATCGCGGCTCTAGTCGCTCGTTCCCGACCCCTATCGATTACCTCATTCGTCCGTTCATCTGGGTCGAGCCCCTTCCAACCCATCGTTTCCCTTCCTAATTAGGTCATTCTGATGATATCGCACCCTCGTGTAAACAAACTTCCGTGCCGAAGGTAAGAATGGTGCCCTTCTTGGAAGAAAAATCGAACGATCTTCAACAGGAAAGCCACCCGAAATCTCAAAAGAGTTTTACAAAAAAAATGATTAATTTTTATTCGACGTAGACTTTGACCGGAGGCGTGGCCTGGAGTTTTTTTCGGCGGGTGTCTCGTGCGTCGCTTTTAGGCTCATAATGTCCCGTAAGACGTTTTGGGCGAGGGGCGTGAGTGGTTCATGAGAAGCAGGACAATCTCCAATTTTCTTTCTCAGTCATTTGTGGGGACTACGTTTTCTATTCAGACTATTTAGATACAAGTGACCTTTGCTCCAGTCTTGAGGATATCGACGTCTCATCGCTCCGTCGAACTGCGAGAGCATTGAATACAAATTTGGTGTTTTCGTTTGGAAAAAAAGGGACAAGGCATTATTTCCAAAAATTCCTATTACACCTATCTTGCAGGAGATGCAGGCATTTCAGACCTTGTAGTGCAATTGCGCACAAGGGTAAAGAATTAGCAGCAGTGATTGCTGATGGGACAGGAGAAGGAGCAATACTTGTACGCGTTTCCATCATACGTGTTATCGTTCGTTCCCGATCTGAGTGTTTCCCATTCCCTCATTAGGGCTTCGGGAAATCACGTACGAAACGAAGAGACGAACTGCACTCACCAGATTTCATCATTTCCCAATCATGCCTCTCTGATGATATCACGCCCTTATGGACACAAACTCCGACTCGTGACGACAATATCAATGAAAACAGGACACACGGATTTCATATCCTGCCCCATCAGTCGGGAAATAACGAGCCGCCGCGCCGTCCGCAGATCCCATGAGGAAAAAAAAAAACCTCCTTACGCCTTGTGAAACGATGCGGACAATACGACCACAATTGCGGAAGGCTAGACGCCACGATCCCCTGGCGACGAAGAAGCTAAAAGCTCGGGAAAAGTGAAGGATGTTCCTTCTCCCTCCTCCCTTCCAACCGTCGCGCCGAGAAATCAAAAAGACGCTGAGAATCACTTTCAAATTCAGTTGATGAGGGAATGTATTTTTTTTCTGAAAAACCAATAAGGAAGCCACCATAGTAATCATGCGTGATTCATTCTTGAAAATGGAATCACCTTTCATTCACCACCAGTAGGGTATAATGTAATGACTCCATTAAATCTCGATTAATAGGCGGATTAATCGTCTTTCCATTCATCGATTTGGCGGTCCTACTTTTTAATGATTTTCCTTAATCGGCGAATGGCATCTCGCTTCTGTCGAGATAATGGATTTCCTGTAAAAGACAATTTTTATTTAATTCTTAGAGCGATTTGCAAAAGTGTACCGAGGAATCATCCTCAGATGACCAGGAAACGGACGGGAACATCGGGCCGCTGCCCGTAATCGGTCAAGTATTCAACAGTTCTTCTTTGAATTTATCATGCAGATTCTCTTCGTCCACAGCTCGAAATGTGCGAAGTCAGTCAATCCGTCGTTTGTTGGAAGGGAATTAACTTCAGCGATAAAAAAAAGATGGAAAGGATATTTCCCGCCCGGTCAAACCGTTACAATACAGCAGGTCAGCATTTCGTTTCAGCTTTGGACAAGTGTGCTGCAAAAAGCCTTAAGCATCTTGATATCGCATCGCACGGGCGAACTACGACAGCAGCAAGTAGTGGCTTGCGATAGGAAAATTCAAGGAGGCGAGATAAGGCTTTATTTCCTGAAATTCCTTTTAGACGCATTATTGTGGGGATGCAGGCATTTCAGACCTTTTTCTTTGACCAAACGTGCCCAAAAGGGGAGGAATCAGCAGCAGGGGTTTACAATGGGACAGGAAAAGGGGCAAATCTCCCAGCTGTTGCTTCCAATAGTATAGTTGCCTGTAGTAGAGCACCAAAACTTGTTGAAGTCGGCCGTGGTGCACCCGTTGTACGTCTTCGAATTGTACGTGAACGGAAAAACGCACGCCTTCCTAAATCTCAACCCGTTGCAAGAGTTGTTCGCACCTGCACACATGACAAGAGAGGAGGTCACATCGACGTTTTTAGTGATCGGGCGGAGAGGCATGGACTCGAGTCTGACCTTTGGCGATGTCATCTGGTTGGTAGAGTTCCAGTCCCCCTCCAGCTGTGACATTCATCGCCGTGTTGTCGTTTGGTACCAGCTGACACGTCCCATCTGCGGCACAAAAAGGGCGCTTCGTATTGGCAGTGCCTTGTGTTTTGAGATATGCCGACACACATTCCATTAACTGTAATGTAATGGGTAAAAGGAGAGTTCGAAGTTCCCCAATACTCGATGTATGCGTGGATTATATGAGATGAATAGGGTGATGGAGCTTTTCGCGTGGCAAATGTGTTTCTTTTTTCTCCATAATACAGTATTTGAAACTCGAAGAAGTCCTTCAGTTTCTGTACTCTGTGATCTTTCTGCTGATTGTACTTTGATTTTAGACGAGAGGAAATCTTCATTCAAACTTAAGAAAGCAAAAAATTGAAACCTGACCCGAGGGAAGCCAATGAAAGGCGACGCAATTGCCATTCCAGTTGAAACACTTGCAGGCACAAGCCTTTCTAGATGTAGAATTCGCTTTCACGAGGTTCGGAGTGAGGAAGATGAGCCCTTTGTTATCCACCTTCACGTACCTCTTCCGCCCCTCCGTTTTTTCCCCTTCCATCATGATTATCGTCAGTAGCAGCAGGAGCCGAAACACTCCTCGCTTCCCGCTCATGGTCCGAGTGGATTCACCTTCGAAATTAAACATTTGCTCTCGGTAACGTCCTGTGCGCAACAACTCAAGTCGATACGTTATAAAGGGTGTCCTGAAAAAGAGGTGACGGAATATATGAGAACATACCCTTTCTGAAGTTCAGAAATGATAATTCCAATGCTTTAGGCTCCTGTGATGAGGCGTTCGGAGATGATTGGTCTTGCTACTCTCGCCCGGACAAAGTGGAAAGCGCGGGTCACAGACGCGGGAGGCTCACCGTTGCGACTCTTGTCGGCAAGTGCCCAGCCGAAATCAAGGCTGATGGTTGCTAAAGGACGAGGGGAACTATGATTATAGCTACTCGCTTTTCCGCATAAATCTTTACTCATAACGTGACATGCGCTATCGTTATCCTGCAGTCGCTTCAGTCGCTCCTTCATTGCTGAATGGAAATGTGCGAAATGAGCCGTGATGAGGCAGAGAAGTTGGTGTAGGATTCACGGTCGTCCCTTGGGACGTGCTGGGAGGGTTCTCTCATCAACTCAAACAAAATAAATCAAACTAACGGCCTAATATAAATTGTT